TCAGAATTTTGATAAGCTTAAGAGGGTAGTACTAGGAAAACAAATGGCTGGTCATGGTACTGATGCCAATGGGCACACCCAAGATGACCAGCAACTTCAGGGTGGTGATAATAACACATTGCTTGCTTTGCAAGAAATTCAGGGACCCTCGACTCCTGTAAAGATTAATGGTAATCATGTTGTTTGTAATGAGGTGGTGGAAAAAGTGAAGGAGAAACCTAAGATTATGGTGACTAATGATCTTAAACCTCGTCTTCGGTGGACTCATGAACTTCATGCGTATTTTGTCGATGCTGTCAATCAGCTTGGTGGTCCTCATAGTCAGTGTTCATTTCCTCTTATCCTCTAGTAGTCTGCTTTGTTGTCTCAGAATAGTTTTTATGTGATATCCAGTTTTCTTTTTTAAAACAAAATTGTTATATCAGATGATAAATGTTGAATTGGTTTCTGAAATGGATGGAACATCTGATACTTGAATGATTTCCTCATGTTCATTTTTGAGGATATGTAGTAGGCACAAGAGATTGACTCAAAAAATAGCTTGAATTCTCTTTTCAATCGGAAAATTACCTGCATGCCTCATTAAGTGCTTGACTAGATGTCTAAAGCAGTGTTTCTTCTATTCATCCATATATACCTAACATGCATCTAGCACTTAGGCAGGCTCAGCGGCTTTTACTCCTATTACATTGATATTTGAATTCTCTTCTAGCTGCATATTTCTTGCTCAAACTCTGAAATTTCTTTTCTATTGTTTTCGTTGTATACTGATTCTTGTTTCTTTGGAAGGGAATTCTGCTTGGTCAATAGTCTGCTATGACCATATGTTACCACTTTCCAAGGCCACTCTAGCAATATGCATAACCTCCGCCATCAAATTTTAGAGTTTTCACTGATTTTTGGTGGAATTCATTCATCCTTGTTTATGGAAATGGATCTTTTCTAATTTGTTTTCCACTAAGTTTTACGAAATTTATATGCTTTAATGCAGCAATATATATTTTTAATTTTTTTCATCATATAGTTTCTGTGTGTTTTAACTGCATGCTACTAGTTCACTTGCTTTGTTTGAATATAGGTATATGCAATTAGTTTTTTTTGCATAAGTTGGTAATTTTGGTTGGATAAGATCAAATTAAATCATCTATGACAGATGCTATTCTCCCCTCTCCCCCACCTTGTGTAAGTTCAGACCATATCCCACTGCTTACCTCATATGTATGTGCTTTTAAGAAATGATCTTCTTTTGACTATTTTCAAATAAGATTAGCTCCAAAAATGACACATTGTTTCTCCTAAATTTTTTCTTCCTTTCTATCTCTTTTTATGTGCAAGATGTCCGTGTAGATTTGATTGAGGAGCATTCTTAAAATCATTGCCACTTTGCTTACGGCATGCTTCAATTTAGTTTTTGTAGCATCTTTCTTCCTTTCTATGTATGGCATTAAAATAGATTGAGTTAACTGTAATCTTGGCAGTCTGTGAAGCATCTTGATGGCTGCTGACGAAATATTTGTCGATTAGTGACCGTATTACAGATGTTAAACTTTTCCTTTCTAGTTTATATTCTTATAGTTCTGTTACATTGCCTTCTAGGAATGTTGTTTATACTCTGCCAGACGCTTGTGGAAATTTTGTCGACTTGTACTTTGTCGTGCTCTTTTCAAATATACCTCCATTTAATGCGTTATGTCGTGTTCTCATGGTTTTACGTAACATTGATGATGTATTCTGAATTATGTGACTTCTTCAATAATATATTTTATGGTACCGAATTCAAGTTCGTTGGCTTGAATAGCATTGCATGCATGCTTTGGGGACTTTGGATATGTTTCCGTTGTTCTAACTTGGTGACATCACCAGAAAATAGGGCACCTGTATGATTCTGCAGATGGCACAAATGCAGTTTATGCACTCTTTTCATTTTGCAATTCCCCCTTCTTCAGTTTCATGCACGTGCAGTCTAGAATTAGCATTTCTGCTTGCATTAGCCATTTTTAATCATTTTGTTTTAATTCAGTTTATGATGGAATCAGTCACGACTGTAACCAAAACTCCTAGTATTCCTCTTGCTTTTATATGTTAGATTTTTGTTAAGCATTCATAAATAAATAAATAAATAAATAAATATATATATATATATAAGTTTAACCTTGCAACTGGATGTGAGCTGCAGTTGTAAGTAACTTTTGTTCTATGAATTAACCATTATCTGAGGCTGTAGTTTGAACAGAATGATGAACCTAAATTCTTTAATCAATCCCAAATATCTGAGATTAAAGAAAAAGAAGAATGTGAGTGCACAAAGCTTGATTGTACACGTGACGACCAACCAAAATAATAGTCTTTCACCTCTTCTTGCTAATACCATTATTTCATAGCTTCTATGGTTGTTGTCTGTGTAATTATTTAGATATAATGACTATTTACCTCAGTAATAGAATTTTTATCCTCTTTAAGGCTCTTTTGCTAGTACTGACAGCTACTCCTAGTGCATGAACTGAATTTTGTATGTGTTTTTTGATCTCTCAACTCAAGTATGTGAATATTATTTCTCAGTAAATTACTGAATTCCATGCCAATATGAGCTTAGTGTAACTGACAACTCACTTAGCAGTTACCATTACTTCCCAATGATCTGACCACAAGTCTTATTTGCAGAAGCAACACCAAAGTCTGTTCTGGAGGTGATGGATATAGATGGGCTCAGTCTTTTCCATGTAAAAAGTCATCTGCAGGTAAGTATTAAGCATTTCCTTTTCAGCACTTGAATCCAAACTGTTAAAAGTTTCCATATCAGTTATGCCCTTAATGATCATCAATGTATTCCAGAAATATAGACTGGGCAAATTTTCTGTGAAGGAGTGGCAGGACACGGCCAAAGATGGTAGGTTTTGTTATATCCACCTGCCTTCATTCTTATTTTGTTTTAAGCATGAAAATTAACTAATTTCATTACATGCTTATTTAACAACTTGTTCAATATATATACATACCAAAGAAAGAAAGAACTACAGTAAGTTTTCCTATTAATTACATAAGAAAGTATGACATTTTTCATTAGGAAAAACACAGGAGTATCTCATGGTTTCCAAGCGTCCAACTTTCAAAGATGGGAACATTTCATTCACTAATGGAAACAGAATCTGAAACAATATGATGCATGAAACAATTAGAAAAGAAAAGAAAGTAAAAGCAACTCCTATACAGGGTCAGTAGGGAAAGAGAGTCATAGAATGAAACGAAGCCGTGTGAAGACATAAAAATTTCCTAACAATTAAAACTAAAACATTTATTCACTCATTACAAAAGTAATTATAATTTTGATATTGAAAGACAAGTGATATTCGTATTGTAGTGCACATTTTTAGATTGAATGTTCCGAATTGTACAGACCTAGAAGCCATACTGAAATCTTCTATGGGATCTCCACCATGTATTTTGCTGTTTTCTCTAATTGAAAACTTGAAAAAGATGTGATGGAGGTTAAAATATTTTATGATATTTCTTGGCCTTATTCCCAATGCTGTATTGTTCAATATGTGCATCAGCAGACATTTAATGGAAAAGATTTCTGGTGCAATAATGATCAAATATCAGCCACCACGAAGTGTGAGGATTTACTACTGCAATGTATATATTCTCACCTTTACTTTAATAGAGTCATAGTTAAACAGGAAATTAAATAAGATAATTGAAAATTTAAAACTAACATCAAACATCCATTACTGGTCATGTAAGCTAAAAATTGAAGTGTTCTTCCGAGGAAATGCATTCAGCAGCAATATAAAATCAAAGCAAGACATACCAAACTCAAACACGCTGGTGTAAATATATATTTTTCCTCTGTAATGGATGAAAAAACTTAATGTGGTTTTTAACTGAAAGTTTAAGAAACTTACAAAACAGTTGAATTTCTGAGTAAACAAATAGGATGAATGTGCATGATCATTCGGCCCTTGCGAGTGGGACATTCACCTGGAATTAGTGAAGATAACATCCCGAAATCTCTGATAATAACTAAAAATTTCAGAGAGCTAAATGATAGATAAAGTATATTGGGAGCAACTAATTGCCTGGGGCTATATTAAGGCCTATCTTTTATTTCCACTGATGTTAAACTTAGATAAGCAACTTGTGAATGAAATGTTGGTACTCAAGCTGACCATATGTTTCCAAATGCTACTGAATGTGAGGAACCTCAGTTTCTCAAGTTGTTGGAGGTTCACGCGGAGTTACTTCATCGAACTTGGCACCATCCCGCAGAAATGGGTATAACAGGTATGCTCTTCTCTACAGTGAGGTGCTTTCTTTTTTCGTTGCTTAACTGGTTTAAAGTTTTGTTTTCTAAATGACAATGAGCTAATAAATGCTACTTTCTATTGTGGATTATTGGCATACAATATGCAGAGGTCATAAAGCTAAACAAACTCCAAAACCCCAAGAGGAAATTCAAGGAAAACTCTATCTGCAAATTGAGGTAAATTCATTACGAAATTACACACACACACACACACACATATATATATATATATGTAGATTCTAGTTAGAAAGATCTGTTTTCTCATTAAGTCCACTTTAGTGCTGACTGCTGAGCATGCGCAGGAAGCAAATATTTCTTTGTAGAAATATCTCTTTCTGACTAGTTGGAAGTAATCAGTCTTCAAGTTAGGAGTTTTTAAGTTTTGCCTGTCAATAATAGGATTCTTAGTGGTGAGATCTCTCCTTGATGAATTGACCATCTATGTATATTTCTGAAATTTGCAGTCATTAAGCCAACCATTGCCCATAAAAAGAGCTAAATACTATACTTTTCCACAAATGTCGAACTTGATAAAGCAATAATCTTGTAGAAAGTGGAATTTCAATAATTCAACTCAAATCTGAAAGGAAGTCTTATATAATTCTTGTTCAGTGTCCATAATATTAAAACTGTAATTGCAGGCTGAGAAGCACATTCAGAGGTGTTTGGAGGCACAAAGGAGGTACCTAGACACTGCACTAGACCGCGCATGCAAGAAGCTTGCTGATCAGTATTTAGGCGATGCAGCCACAGAAAATGCATTTCTGTATGGGCAAGCCTCGGCTAGTTTAGGAGCTTTCACAACAGTACCTGGCCCATCTGATTTAGGAAATATGGGCACAATGCCACAGTTTTATTTGAACCAGCACAATCCATATCCTACATATGACACATTGACAGCCCAAGCTAATCTCGGCCTTCAAGGGGTACCTCTTGGTTGTCAGCCCCAAGCCTCTCTTCATCCTGCACCTGAAGGCTCCTCGACTTCATTCGGATATTCTGCAAGTTCATATCAGGAACCGTTCCCTCCACTTGCCAGCAGTGGGAAGAAAAGGGTCCGGCCTGCTGAAGAGGATCCCATAGAAGCTTTCTTGAATTGGGATGATACTGAACCAAAGAACCTCGATGCTGGCTTTAACTATGACAATCTTCAAGGTTTTCCTGGCGCCTTTTAGGTGAACTGTGTAAATACCAAAGCCACTTTCAGCCGTAAGTTTCAGGACTTTTCATCCTTGCAAAGACTAGTAACTGTACCCATCACAAAAAACACAAAAGGGATAGTAACTCCTCCTGTCTGCCCATAAATATGAATGAAAACTAGTATGGAGTTGCCCTTTCTGGTGAATTATATAATCTTGTTCATCCATGTGACTGCCTTGAATTGCTTAAGGTAAATCATGTACACCGGTTTCCTGAGTCGATATTTGCACAATCAATTGGACAAGAGCATAATAAAATGCAAAATGGATGTAATGAAAAGCAATATTGGTCTGTTACATGAATATTTGATTTAATAATAAATAACATGCATGCATATATTTTTAATTTAACAAAATTAAGGGGAGATGTATTTCAATAATTATAGAATAGTGAAGGGGCAGGGAAAAGGAACAAAACGAAATGGGAGAGAAATCATGTGAAAGTTTTTCATTCCTTTTTTAACTATTAAGGTTAATATAATATTTTAGGATTAATGTAATTAGTTACCTTAAATGCATTCATTTCTAATGCAATAAATGTAAAATATTCCTCAATCATTAAATAAAATCTTTTTTTTTACAATTAATTAGTCAATTACATCTGCTTTGATAGAAGTAGTGAAATTGTAAAACTACGTACTAAAGCTTAAAATTTAAGAGTGAGACAAAAATTAGTTAAAATTTTCTTAATTATTTTAATCGTTGAAATTTGGTTAATTCAGCTGATTAAATCGGATTGGTTCAGTTAAGATAATTTGAAGTCAGTTAACCAACTTAATTGACTTTGAATCTAATAGATTTTAAAAGATTTCATTCATGTACGGTTTCACATTTTTTTTCATATCTATATATGAATAAAGAGTGTAGATTTTATCATTAAGACATCAAACAACAAAAAATAAAATACAAATAATAAATATCATAATCTCATTAGTATTTTAATTTATTTTATTTCATCTTTTTATATAAATATATAATCCACGTCTATGTTCAAATTTTTAATGTACAAAAATCAATTTATATAATAAATTTTTATTTAGACATTAATATCATTGATATAATTGTATAAAACTGTAATAACCTAGACCAAATATTTGAGTTAAGATATTGACATATCTTTCAGTGAAACATATAGGCCTTTAAAATAATTGGGTCTAGACCATTTTTTAATGCTGAAGTTTACAGGAAAACAATTAGGGTTAATATAAATATATCATTTAAATATAGGCAGCGACCTTAATGAAGAAAATTTAAAGGCTAAGAAGAATTTCACAAGAACAACTTGAAGAATAAACAAACAAAGGTTATTGCTGGATTTATCACCACAATATGAGTAAACACACATTTTAAAATTGAAGAAAAATATTTGATTGATTTAAAAGAATTTAGATTAATACTAAAAAGGAAATTCGTTGAAAAAAATCAAGTTTTGTATCCTATATCGCCACTTTAAATCTAGTTCTGTATTGATTTATGAAGTTTTGCTATTTGAGTTTTATATGGTTGGAAACTTATATGAGTCTATTTTCTAATGAGCTAAATGGAAGAATATTCCAAATTTCCTATGTAAATATATATATATTTTTTGTAAAGACAATACCAGCTACCTAGTAGTAACACTAGGGGCAATTTTGAAAATATTTTACACTTTTTCTACAGTGAATTAAGTGTTAAAGCTTATATGGATAGAAGGCCTTTTAAGTCTAGTTTTCAATGCATTAAATGAATCTTGATTTTGAGTTTCATAGCTTAAGATATAGTCATTTCAATAAATGATGTGCAAACTATCTAAATTTTTGATTTCGGAAAGTTTGGATTGTTTTGTATAATTTCAAGTGATAAATAGATTTTAAAAGGTTAGATTGTTTCTAATATGCTTAAATGATTGTTTTTGGGTTTTTGATTATTTTGAGAGAAGAGTTTGTTAGTACAAAGGAAGGTAAGTTTATCTTCACACACTTTACTTATTTTGAAACTATCCTATATGTATATTTTTTTAAAGAATTAAACGTTTTATTTCATTATTTCAGTATATGAAAATAACGTCAGGCGTATGATTATTTTCTATTTTTGGCTTAATAATATGATGAAAATAGATATATGAATGATATGATTTATACGTATGACGGACATTGTTTTATCAATGTTTTGATTTATTCATATGACGAACATCGGTTTATGAATGAAATGAAATCTTTGATCATCTTTAAAGAATGTTTTAAGAGCTATGGAATGATCTCTGGGAAGTGGGATAATTGACATCAGAATTAATTTTACGGCCTTGCTAATAGAACATAATAGTTAGCACACGGCTCTATTAACGGGATATAATAGTTAAGTAATAAAAATCATAAGAATAATTAGTCAATACAATCCTTATCACGGGATATAATAGTGATCATAACTAACATAATGAAATTTTGTGAGTTTCAAAGATTGAAACTATGATTTGCTTGAATGTAATGTCAAAAATGGTATTTGATAATCAATAATTTATGAAATTATGAAATTATTTACTTTGAATATAATGAATCTGACTATTTTGAAAGCATGATTTAGTAAAATGCTCTTAGATGATGCAAATGATAAACTAAAAATGACATTTTTTAGGGTAAGGTGTGCATGGCTATACTTGCTGAGCCTTGGTTTGCTCATCCCTTTATTTACAATTTTTCATATGACTAGAGATGAGAACTTTAAAGCTATGGGAGCTAAGAGAACAGTGTGAGCCACTTACTAGGATGTCAAGACATTGTTAGTTATCTTAAGATTTTTCCACTTGTAATTGATATATCAGTTTCGAGTTGTTTGTTTGCTTTTCATCTTAAAGACTTTAGTAGGATTGTAATAGTTACATAAACAATAATATAAGTATGAAATTGTTAGAATGACTCATTTGAGGACTTTTATAAGAATGAAAGATAGTAAGGCTTCAGGCTTGGTCTCAGGGTAATATGATCATTTCATGTCTCGATTTTCGGACGTGACAAAAACATTTATATAAATTAAAATAATACAAAATATAAAGAAAATCATATGAAAATTTTAAGTTATTAATATATTAATATAACTTATTGTAATAAATTTTTAATATATTAAGTTACTAACTTATTATCGTAATATATTAAGTTTGATAAAAGTTATATTAACTTATTGATATAGTAATTTAATGAATTAATATAAGTTACTATATTAATTAATATATTAATTTTACTATAATATAGTAATATAATTTATATTAATATAGTAACTTATTAATATAATAATATTACTATAGTATAGTATATAACAATATACTAAATGTAGTATACTTATTGATATACTAATTAGTCAATAACATATATTACTTATTAGTGTACTATATATATATATATATGGTATCTTGTTATATATACTTATTAATGTACCATATATAGTATACAATATATTGATATGCCATATTAATATATAGTATAATGCTGTATACCATAGATATAGTATGTTGCTGTATATACCTATTAATATACTATAATCTATTCCATTTTGTTAATGCGTTTTATTTTTCATTTTAAAATTTAAATTTCTAATTGACAATATATTAGTAACCCAAGTATTTAATCTTCCACATAATTTTTAGATTTTATATTGAATGCTTAAAAAAATTATGATTTATGATAACAAAAAAAAAATCTTTTCCAAAAATAAGGCTATATTAATCATAAAACAAATATAATGCCAATAATTTTATAAAATAAATTTAAAAAGTTAAAAAATACTAATATAAATAAACCAATTTAATTGACTAAAGTTGGTTAAAGGTTAAGTCAGTTAAGAGAGAAAATTCAGTCAATTTGGTTAAAAATTTATGCAAAATCAATTAATTAAATTTTCTGACCAAATTAACCTACTTAACTGATTACTCACTATGTACAAAATTTGAAGCAAATTCTTTCAAATCCTACATTTATATATAATTAAAGAAAAAAGAGTTCATGATTTTCTCAATTTCAGCAATTACAACCCACATTTAACTCTATTGATATAATTGGTATTAGCAGATAATGTTTACAGCAGTAAGGGTTCAAAGAAGTAAAGCACTTTCCATATTTGAATGTAGAATCCCTTGTCTATAATATGTAGGGAAAGAAAACAAAGGTACAAAGCCGAACCCCAAGAAAGAGCAAGGCAGATCAAAAAACCTTCTTCTGCTAATATCAATGGCGCCAATCACAGTTGCCTGCTCCTTAAACATCTACGAAGCTGAAGCAGAAGATGCATCCTCCACCGCTGCTGTTCTTGCTGCGGCTGGTGTCATCGAAATCCGCATTAGATTAAGGTATCAACTCCGCATCAAAGCCTACGGAGTGGAAGAGTTGATAGAAGATGTGATCACCCCAGAGCTTTCCAATCCCTTCTCGATGCCTTTGACCTTTCTTTTCCCAGAACTAAGCATAACCCACGTCTGGAACATGCTCCAGAGCCTGGATGTTGATGCTAACGCTTGCGACTACTTGAGTCCGAAGATCGCGGAGTTTGCTGTTGATGTAGCCAAACGTCGTGGTGCAATGCAAAATAGTTCGGAGAGAACTGTAATAACGGTGGCTGAGGTGGAGATTACGAAAGTTGATTTCATTTTCGAGGAAGAGTTTGATAAACTCTCCGATAAAGTATGTTGATTTGATTGGATCAAGACAGATTTAATTTTGAGGTTACGTTTCTGTCTTTTGCTGTTAATATTACTTTAGAAGCTTTACCGTTTCACATGGCAAGGATTCATAAATTATACAGATCCTTCTTGAAGCTTTCTTAATTAATTTCTCAATATATATATTTTAATTACTTAGTCTCCAATATGATGATTGGTTTTTTTATTCTTTGGTCCTTGCACATGAATTTTATGATGATTAATTTTGGCTATGCAAGCTGCTGAAAAAATAAAACCCTTTTCATGTATGAATTTTTAGAGGATAAATGAATAGTTTGGAACATCTGATAATTTAATTCAATAATAAATACGTTTTAATTTTATGAGTTTAAATTTTTCAAAACAAAATTTAAAAGGTGCAATGAGATTGTCTTTATGCTTTTTCGATAAAGGTTTTTTTAATAATTTATCATAAAATAAAATTGGTCTATCAATTTATGCATAG